AGTATGAAAAGGCAAAAAGATAGGACACTGAAAGATGAACTCTCCACGTTGGTAGGTGCCTAATATGTTACTGGAGATCAGTGGAGAAATAACTCCGGAAAGAATGAAGACATGGAGCCAAAGCAAAAACAATACTCAGGTGCAGATGTGACTGGTGATGGAAGTAAAGTCCAATGCCATAAAAAGCCATATTGTATAGGAACCTGGAATATTAGGTCCATGAATCAAGGCAAATTGGAAGTGGCCAAACAGGAGATGGCAAGGGTGAACATCAACATTTTAGCAATAAGTGAACTAAAATGGACTAGAATGGATGAATTTAACTCAAATGACCATTATATCTACTACTGAGGGCAAGAATCCCTTAGAAGAAATGGAGATGGAGTAGCCATCATAGTGAACAAGAGAGTCCAAAATGCAGTACTTGGATGCAATCTCAAAAATGACAGAATGATCTCTGTTCATTTCCAAGGCAAACTGTTCAATATCATAGTAACCCAAGTCTCTGCCCCAACCAGTAATGCTGAAGAAGTTGAAGTTGAACAGTTCTATGAAGTTCTTCAAGACCTTCTACAACTAGCACCCAAAAAAAGATGTCCTTTTCATTATAGGGGATTGGAGTGCAAAAATAGGAAGTGAAGAAATACTTGGAGTAATAGGCAAATTGGGCCTTGGAGTACAGAATGAAGCAGGGCAAAGTTTAGTAGAGTTTTGCCAAGAGAATGCATTGGCCATAGCAAACACCCTCTTCTGACTCTCTGTAGGGCTGTCAAACCAATGATTGTTTCTTAGCAAAAGAATTAGGTTCAGGAACCATTAATGAAGCTAACCATGAGCATATATGAAGAAGTTCACAATATTGAAGAGTCACAGAACACATGTGCTATTTGCCCTCAAGATCAGGTGTGGCGTGGCCTGATATGGGGTCTTTTTTGCTGGTGCTTAAGACCTCTTCTTTGGTTAAAAAATGGGGCTCAGAAAGACACATGCTATTTCATTGGTGAACCTCAGAAACCTTGGCACCTTAAGCTAAGTGAAAGAAGCCAGACCCAGAGACCCCATATTTTACAATTCCATTTGGATGTCATGTCTTAAAAACACAAAGTTATAGAGAAAGAAAGTAGATTAGTGTTTGTATGAGGCTGGAAGGGGGAATAGGGAGTCACTGTAAATGGCAGGAGGGATCTTAATTGGTGCATAAAAATGTTTTAAAATTGATTTTTGGTGATGGCTGCGTCACTCAGTAAAATTACTAAAATTCATTGAATTGTACACCTGAAGTGGTGCATTCTACAAGCTGTTAAATACATCTCAATAAAAATACATCTTGATATTTTATGATATATAAATATACCATTTTTGTTGCTTAAAGAAAAAGATAGGGCTAAGACCAGATGTGGGAACTTCCATGTTTTAAATTACAATTTGATATTAAGTAAACTGAGGCATCCTAGGTGTGAGTCAGATTTCAGAATTTTAGAGGTGACTGAGTCCAGCTTAGAGTATAGGCTCAGTTCTTAAAATACAATATATGAATTTGTGTTTTGACAAGTTCAGTGTCATCTTTCATGATATTCTATCATGTGGACAAGACAGAAAAATGTGAACCCAGAGCAGTTAGGAGGACCCTGATTGGTTCTTGGATATCATGGTCTTCAGTGAAGGGGGACTCCCCTTCCTCCCTCTCATCCCTTATTCTTCCTCCCCCTTCTTCCCTCTCTACTTTACATTTTTAAGCAAGTAATAAACAGTGTATACAAATAAAGAACATACAGAAAAAATAAAAATTGTGCATAATGCATTATAGCCTTGTTTCAGACTTGTTCAGGTTGTTTTCTACTAATGACTTTATAAATATGCTACATTCAACAGTTTGATACAGTTACTGACTCCTGGGGATACAGTCGCAGGCATGGCATTTCTGGGTCAGAAGGGATGCACTCTTAGAGTAGTTTACATATATTCATTTGTTCACAAAAATGCCTGTGCAGTACAGATGGAAGTGATGTGTCCAAAATGTGATCTGGCCTGTAATTTGACAACCACAGAATTGCCTGTGATTGTCAGCTTTGTGACTGGCTATGCAGGATAGGAGAGGTGGTGATACCACTTGACCCTGAGGTAATCAAGCAAGACTTGGGCCCAAGATATGAACTGAGATTGACCCTCTGAGTCTGGTCAAGAGGCCACAGCCAAGATAGGACCATGCCTTATGAGGGATCACTGAAGCACCAAGGTATAGTTAGTTGCTGGAGAAGATATGATTCACTTCCTTTAAGGAGTTGAAAGGCTATCCTATCGAGAGAAGTTAGGTTCACCTTGTGTGGTGACAAGGGCAGAATACGTAACAGAGGTTGGTTGTTCCAGGAAGACAAGATTCAGTTTAATGTGAGAAAGCCCTAACAGAACAGTCTAAAAATGGATGGTAGTCCCCTTGTTTTTGTGAATCCCCCTTCCCTCTGCATCCCTGGAGATCTTCCAGCAGAGTCCTCATGTCATTTGGATGAAGAGTCATGGCATGTGTGTGAAGGGAGTTAATGATGGATATTTAATATTTCATTTGGAGACTTCTGAGAAAACTTTTATTACTACAAGGCTGTAAACTTGAAATCACAGCTCTAGTTACAGTGTGCTCAGTTGTATCCAACTCTTTGTGACCCCATGGACTCTAGCTTGCCAGGCTTCTCTCTCTATTGAATTTTTTTAGGCAGGAATACTGGAGTGGGTTGGCATTTACTCCTCCAAAGGATCCTCCCAACCCAGGGATTGAACCTGTGTCTCCTGCTTCTCCCTACATTGGCAGGCAGATTCTTTACCACTGAGCCACCTGGGAAGCCCAGTCTATCTCAAAGCCAAAGGAAATATTCTGCAAACACCGTATGTTTTTTTAATGTTTCTTAGAGCAAGGAAGAAACTGTTGAACTTCTGATCGCACATTTTTTACACTTAGCTCACTGGTGAATAAGAGTTTAGTTTTTTGACAGTCCTTGATAGTCAGTTCAGTTTTTGTAGTCACTGTGTGGGGAGATGGTTTTTCTCATTGTTTTTGTTCTTGTATTGTATACTCTTTACCAAACCTGGGTCTCTCAGACCTTAAGGTTCCCACATCTGGTGAAAGGTAAAGAGGTAGTTTACACATACTATTCACCTCTGAGCAGCCTTTTCATCTTAAAAAATTTCAATAATGCTTTCAACACTTTCTAGGCCAAATCGTACTTGTAGTGTTTCTGAATCTTGCCAATGTTAACAAGTTGCATTTTTCCATCAGAGATATTACAAGCATTTAAACTATTCCTTTAGCATTTTTGACATATTTTCTTCATTTCAGTATTGCTACTTTGAGAAGTTTAAAAATGACTGGGGGGGGGGAGTGGATCACAAAATTCATAAGAAATGTGCAAAAATTTGCTATCTGATTTTAATGTTTCTGAGGCACAACAGATTAAATAATAATGCAACTTTCTTGCCCCTCAGAGCTTGGTCTGGGAAATAGGGCATCACCTGGCAGCTTGGAGGATATACAGTCTCTCTAGCTCCCCCAGCACTCCTGAAGCAGAATCTGCATTTTAACAAGTGGACCCTCCTGCAGCACCTGGTGGACTTTCCCAGGTGATGTGATGCTGCAGAACCTGGGTTTCAGAATCATCATCTCACCTTGGTGGTTGAGCACCTGGTTATTCACCTGGCATCATGACTGGGTTCTTTCACCTGCATGAACCCCTTTAATCCCAAGACTCACCCTCTAAAGAGGAGCTAGTCTAGAGGCTCAGATAGGTTGTCACTAGATCTGAAAAAATGTCACTGGAAGACAGTTTCTGTATCTATATTTCCTAAGCCGAAGACAGGAAAACTGAAACATAGGCTATAATGATCAGGCCTAGCCAAGGGCAAAAGCTTCTGGTGGCTCCGGCTCATAGCTTGGGCACATCCTGTGATTCTGGTGAGCCAGCACCTTGTGGAGGACAGCAGAGCCACACATCCAGGTGGCAGAAACTCAGTCCCCAGCGTCTTGTCATTCATGGTCCAGCTGTGGCTGGTACAGGTCTCGGGAGGAAGTCACCTCTGACGGAGGTCAGGAAGAGCAGGTAGAGGTCCCACGTCTCAGCTGCAGGCTGGCTTCCTGGAGCCTCAATTATTAAAGAAGTTCAGGGGTCTAGATGACAGGAGATGCTCAGGAGTTGCTTCACCAAAATCATCTCTGTGTGTGTAGTTTCAATATCTTTAAATGTGATCATTAAAGGAGTAGATATTCATTAAAAATTAGTTCTAATCTTCCAATCTTGTAGCCTTTAGGATATAGTTTTTGTGGATTCTGAGAAGGGATATAAAATCAATAATGATAAGTGATCTTTAGTCATTATGTAATTTTCCTGCCATTTTCCTGCTTGCATCCATCTGGTCTTCTTGGATACTTAAGCATGAGTCTGTGCATTACCGTGATAGTAAACTCACAACATGAAGATGACAGGAATCTGAAATTTCCCAAAATATGAGTTGCTGTGAATCATTTTGTGAGAAAAAAATTAGAGAGGTTATAATTACATTTATTTAAAAAGTATCACTTAGCAAAATTAATTTTGATAACTAAAGCAAAATTAGTGTAACAACTAGGATTAACTGAAGTATTTTGCCAGTGTTTATTTACTGACTTAGCACTTGAAGTAAGTCTTAGATAGTATGGATCTAAAAGGAGAGAACATTCTTAAATACAACAGCTCTTCCTAATGCTGCCACAATATTTTCCCCCATTCTTCTAAAAAGCAGGGCTCAATTTCAACTCCCCACCTACTGCCATTTGGTGGAATTTTGTTTCTTTTTGGTTATCTATCATCCTATTTTCTCTTTCTTTACCACTGACATCAGCTTATTTCATATGGATTTGTAATATACCAAATAGTATAATAGTAAATAGTTTAAAAATATTGTTTTGATTTGTTCACGAATTCTTTTAAAGAGTCTTTATGGGGAAATGAGTAATTTCTTGTGTCCTGTTCTTGCAGGAAGAATTTTGAATCGTTTCTTCAAGGACATTGGGCATATGGATGACTTGCTGCCCCTGATATTTCAAGATTTCATCCAGGTAATGTACCAGTCCTGTCAGAGTTCTCACAGAAAGAACAGAGTGCCTGTTTTTCGAGGCCTTTTTATAGGAGCAGAGGGTGGGCCTTTCAGCTGGGTGATGTGTCCTGTTACCTTCAGCAAAGGCCATTTTTGTGAGAGAAAGGTGCAGCTGTGATTGGGAGGCTGAGTTAACATGGGGAGCACCTGGGGCAGGAGTGGCTACACAGTCACCTCAAGGTTGGTCTGAAGCAACAACATGCTGCGTGAGTGGTTCTCCCACTGCCTTCCAGGTGTCTGGTGTGGATTCCCTTTACTGTGAGCATATTTCATAGCAGAAACAGTTACCTCTCATGGAAAGATAGCCTTGATGAAGTAAAGCATGTGTCGTATTACCACAGAAGCCAAGTATTTATTGCACCATTTTTTTTGATTGGGTTAGATTGATCACTTACAAAGAAAACATTAGTAATAGTAAGGTGAAAATAATACTTGATCACGGACAATAAAGGGCAGTTATTGATGATACAAAGCGTTTAATCCAGTAATTTGATTACAGGTTTAAAGTCATCTCAGAAAATGTCTTTTTTTGTGTTTGGAAGGTTTTCTTTTCATACATTGAATGTTCTGTTTTAACATATCTTAAAAAAAAAAAAGAAAAGAAAGGCAGAAATACCCATGGAAATACTTCTATCCAGCCTTTATTTTGTCTGTGAACTTGAGGTTCTAAGGAATGATGCTGGGTCATCTCAGCTCTGGTTTCCTCACTCAGTATCATTGCTCTACTGGGGTGTTTTATTTGTTATTCCTGTCTGCTTTTCAGTGATTCAAGCTATGTGACTTCCTAAGTGTTTATTTTGGAAATAAAATGCATTTATCAAAAGCTTCACACAGAAATGCCGCAATGAATATCTGAATGCAAACAGCACAGCCTGTGGGCAAAGCCTTCCACTCTTTACCAATGAGAAGTAAGCTGAGACTCAGAGGCAGAGGCCTTTTAGTGCAAAGATATATCTGCTTTTTTTTTTTCCCTGCAAACTTATTTTATAAAGGTGTCCTGTGGGGCTTAGCTATGCTACTTATCCCCAGAAGCAGTCTTTCAGTAAAGCAGTGTCATATCTTGACAGTGATTGTTAATTACTTTGAAAAGATTTTGTGAAAGGTTCTGTTCCTTTGCTACTATAAACTAGGCCAAGTTTGGTTTTCCAAAGTTGGCTGGCCTGCTTGCTGTGTGCTTGGCATATGGTTAATTGGCCCTTATAATCAGAATCCCTCACACATTTTTGCATGACCTAGAGGGGACAGAGATAGATGCTGTCTGATTTCAGGATAAAACATTCTCAGTCATGTGAGGAGAGAAAATTTCAGTCTCACTGATCTCCAATCCCAACTCTTCCACTTGTAGTTCAATTATCTTGAAGTCTGGGACCTCCTGGTGGAGGTGTCCTAAAGGTCATTGGACATAAGAGTCTGGTGTTTGAGGGAGAGACCTGGGATGGCACCTGTGTATTCTTCACTGAGAAGGTAGTAGTTGAATCTGTGAAGATGAATAAGATTGCCCAGAGAGAGTGAGGCATGTCTAGGGACCAACGTCAGAAACTTATGGAGGCCTTGATATTTAGAGAGAAAGCTGAGAGAGGAGGCAAGCAGAGGAGACAGACAATGAACAGCAAGTAAAGAGAGGAGGAGACAGGGTGGAGACCTGATGAAGAACAGGTCTGTTCGGTGCAAATGAGAAGGTGAGTCCACAGACAGTTGTTGGTTGATTTGGAATCAGGAGGTGTCAGTGACCTGAGAAGCAGGTTTCAGATGTAAGGAGGCCAGAGCACAATGGGCTGCAAATTCAGGAAGCCTGGAGGGAGTTGAGGTGAAGACAGGTTACTCCTGGAAGGAGTTTGAATGAAGCAGGAGAGAGGCCCATCTGGAATGTAGGGTCTGAGGAAGTGTTGCTGGCTGTTTAGGTTTGTAGTTTGAGTTGGGGGTATGTGTGAGGTGGTGGGTGGTATTCTCTCTCTCTCCTTCTCTTCAACAAATAGGGATTAAAGTTGAGGCCCTGAGGTACAAGGGTGAGTCATGGCACAAAGCCCTCTTTCAGAAGCCTCAGGAGAGGGAAAACAAAGTGAAAGTGAAAGTCGCTCAGTCATGCCTAACTCTTTGTGACCACATGGACTATACAGTCCTTGGAATTGTCTAGGCCAGAATACTGGAGTGGGTAGTCTTTCCCTTCTCCAGGGGATCTTCTCTACCAAGGAATTGAATTGGGATCTCCTGCATTGCAGGCAGATTCTTTACCAACTGAACTGTCAGTGAAGCGCAGGGGAGGGAACCATATAGAAACTTACCTCTTGCTGCCTTTGGAATCTGAATTGTGCCGGTACCTTGGAGGAAGCCCTGAAAGGCAAACTGGATGTGGGAGCTGGAGCAGTTAGGGAGTCTGGTCCAGAAAGTGGATGGAGTTTCTATGAAGTGACCTATGATCCCAGAGGAGAGGAAAATGCTCCTGTGGGTAGTGGAACAGGAGGTTTCGCCAGAAGCACACACAGTTCGGAGCAGCCTTTGCTGTCACCATTGAGAGTGGGGTCGAGAAGGGGCTTGTTCAGCTTTGTTAAAAAGGATATAGTTAATGTCAAGTGGGTTGGAACTCATCCCTGATGATTCTGATAAACTTTGGCATATTTTATAAACCTTGGAAAATACTTGATTATTTTCATTTTTATTACATCTAAAGGGTTTACTACATATACTTTTCCTTATCTAATTTCTTCTCATTGTTTTAAATGAAATCTTAGGTAATTTGTTTAATATTTTGAAGTAGTGATGGCAGGTGTGAAAACCCTGGATTATGACTAGTGCGTCCACACTTCAAGACAATCCATCCCCTCAGTGATGTCATTCAGAGACCACATCCCAAATAGGTGTGATCACGAGTTTGTACACCATTTTGTACACTGACTGTTATAACTACAGATATCTTGCCTGTTCAGTCACATTATAGTTATTGAAAAATGGGAGTTGTTCACAATTCCAAAGGAAGAAGAGGGGCAGCATTAAAAAAAAATCAATTTGTATAGTGTGATTGGTGGCTCAGATGGTAAAGAATCCACCTGCAATTCAGGAGACCTAGATTCAATCCCTGGGTTGGGGAAGATCCTCTGGAGGAGGATGGCAACCCACTCCAGTATTCTTGACTGGAGAATCCCCATGGACAGAGGAGCCTAGTGGGCTATAGTCCATGGGGTTGAAAAGAGTCAGACATGACTGAGTGACTAAGCTCAGCACCTGATAATCATTTACAATGTCAACAGCTTTAAAGTGTCATGGAGAGGGGAGGCCTTCAGTCTCCCTTTTGAAGCTTGAGTCCTAGATCATCCTCTTACCATCTCTGACACACAAAACCACACTTCCTCTCTTTAAAACAGGAAAAATAATACCAACTTCATAAGGTTTATTGGGAAGACAAGATGAAGTCGTTTTAATGAAATTCTTAGCACAAAAGCTAAGTACATGTTGAGCACTAAATCAATTCACTTCAATTCAGTCACTTACTTGTGTCTGACTCTTTGCAGCCCCATGGACTGCTGCATGCCAGGCTGCCCTGTCCCTCACCAACTCCTGGAGCTTGCTCAAACTCATGTCCATCAAGTCAGTGATGCCATTCAACCATCTCATCCTCTGTCATTCCTTTCTCCTGCCTTCAGTCTTTCCCAGCATCAGGGTCTTTTCCAATGAGTCAGTTCTTCACATCAGGTGGCCAAAGTACTGGAGTTTCAGCTTCAACATCAGTCCTTCCAGGAATATTCAGGACTGATTTCTTTAGGATTGACTGGTTTGATCTCTGCAGTCCAAGGGACTCTCAAGGGTCTTCTCCAACACCACAGTTCAAAAGCATCAATTCTTCAGTGCTTAGCTTTCTTTATAGTCCAACTCTCACATCCACACGTGACTACTAGAAAAACCATAGCCTTGACTAGGCGGACCTTTGTTGGCAATGTAATGTCTCTGGTTTTTAATATGCTATCTAGGTTGGTCATAACTTTTCTTCCAAGGAGTAAACTTTTTTAATTTCATGGCTGCAGTCACCATCTGCAGTGATTTTGGTGACCAAGAAAATAGTCTGTCACTGTTACCATTGTTTCCCCATCTATTTGCCATGAAGTGATGGGATCAGCTGCATGATCTTAGTTTTCTCAATGTTGAGTTTTAAGCCAATTTTTTCACTCTCCTCTTTCACTTTCATCAAAAGGTGCTTTAGTTCTTCTTTCCTTTCAGACATAAGTCAAGGCTGTATATTGTCACCCTGCTTATTTCAATTATATGGAGAGTAAGTACATCATGCAGAATGCCAGGTTGGATGAAGCACAAGCTGGAATCAAGATTGCTGGGAGAAATATCAATAACCTCAGTTATGCAGATGAACACTAAATAATGTATTGTTATTTGAAAACACCAAATGTATTTTTAAGTAGTAGAAATAGTCTGCTAAAGGCATGATGTTGAATTAAAATTATTGTGACAGACAACTTTCAGGCTTGTAAATATTACCTCATGAGTTTGCATCACATAGTTTCTAGGCTTTGTAATCCGTAAAGATTTAAACGGACACATTCCCATGTAGACTCACAGAATTAAAATCAACTCTTCTCAAAATAGACCATTGAGCACAAAATATTTCAAATTAGTGTAATTTTCACACAGTTTGCCCAAAGTGCCAGATTACATTGGGAAAGACTAGAGATCTCTTCAAATAATTAGAGATGCCAAGGAGACATTTCATGCAAAGATGGGCATAATAAAGTACAGAATGGCAAGGGCCTAACAGAAGCAGAAGGTATTAAGAAGAGGTGGCAAGAATACATACACAGGAGAACTTTACAAAAGAGGTCTTAAAGGCCCAGACAACCACGATATTGTGTTTACTCACCTAGGGGCAAACATCCAAGCGTGTGAAGTCAAATTGGCCTTAGAAAGCATTACTGCAAACAAAGCTAGTGAAGGTGATGGAATTCCTGTTAAGATATTTCA